GAGCAGGGAGGGTTAGTATGCATATTTGATATTAATTGACTACTATAGAATAATTAGGAGGGCAGACATAAGACAGTTTTGAAAAGATGATGTGAGAGGCTGTATGTGCTTATTTCAGACAGGGTCTCATATGGCCCTGGCTGGCCTAAAGTCCCCATGTGGCTCAGGATTACCTTGAACTGATCTTTCAGGACTCCTCCGAGGTGTGTGGTACATATGGCTCAAGAGGTTCTGCCTTCAGTCAGTACAAAGCAACTGTAATCAAAATGTGTAGCACTCTCATGGGAAAAGATGACTTTTTTTTTTAAGAACCTGAGGGGGGGGACTCAAAAAGCTATTTTAATATAGACCCTTAAAATACCAAGGGTGCCAGAAACAAAGCTAATTAGAAAAATGCGTGAATCTAAAGTATAGATGTCCCAAAACATGAGGATGTACCCAAAGATCTCCACTAAAGGTAGGTGTTGGCAACTGGCATTGATGTTTTAACAATTATGGTACTTTATTGCATTTTATAAAAATGTAATTGACAATAATAAGAGCAGGGACAGCTGCTGGGACCAGAATTTTTGTATTTTGGTATTCAATCTAGATTTAGGACATGAATTTGTACTTTTCTATGGTAATCACTTAAGAACAGGCCGAAACCAGGCAGTGGCAACGAGTGCCTTTCCTCCCGGCAGCTAGATCTCTGAGTTTAAGGCCAGCTTGTTCAACAGAGTGAGTTCCAGGACAGCCAAGGCTACAAAGAAACCCTGTCTTGAAAAATAAAAAACAAACAATAAAAAACCCAAGAAACAATTATTTAGCAAGGCATACGGCATGAGAAGGGCAAACTGTTAACTGTGAAGTGGAAATTGTTGGCAATCTATATGTGAGAGGATTATACAGTTCAAAGGCCAAGACTGACAAACGCCATTGAGAAACAATCAGACTTCATTGTCTAAGTTGTACTTTCAGCTAAAAGAAAAGGTACAGCCCAAGTGGTGGAGCGCTTGCATGGAATGCTCAAGGCCCCGGGCTCCATCTTTAGTACTGTCTATATGAATGGGGATCTTGGTCTCACCAAAAGACCCAGCTCATCACCCAGAGCATGTGCTGTTGTATTTCCTCCAGCTTCCCCCCAAGGATCATGTGGGCTCTTACTGATGTTTGTGTGCATTGGAGGAAAAATGATTCACCTTTGTGGGGACTGGCTCAGAACTGGCTGATTCCAGATCTGAAACTGACGTTGCAGAACTTACAGAGATTGGGATCTGTGGTGGTATGGGTCAGTGCTGTGTCTCTGAACCTGTGAGGTCCTTTCAGTTCCAGAAGGATTAATGAGAATAATATTTAGCATTTGGAAGAATCCCATATTGGTGCTTTGACCCATGAGCTGAGGACTAGTTGGTGGGAGAGGCTACCTGGAAGTTGTTAGCACTGCCTGTGCCTAAGGAAATAGTTAAGTCCAAAGCTTAAGTATCCCTGGGTGATTAGAAGTGTCGTTGCCACAATAAGATAAATGAGTAGTGGTTCCCCAAGCCCATGCATCTCTCCCATGTGCGTTTTGGGTATGATCCATTGATTAAGCAAATTCTCACATCCCTTGCTCAATGGTGGAGAGAACTGATCCCACAAAGTTGTCCTCTGACCTCCATGCATGTTGCATGGACACAACACACATGCCCCATCTACGTGTACACACAAGAAAATAATAAAGTACAAATAATAATTTTAATGAAACTTAAAAAAAAATAGCCCTCCTAAAGAAAAGGTTAGGTTGTTGCATCTGACCTCGCCCATAAGCAGAACAACCACGCCCACTTTATATTTATACACATTTATACACAACCGATTCCTCATTTGACCAAGCTGCTAGTTTTACAAACGAATGATTGAAATAAATGAATCTCAGTTTCATAGACCCAGCGTACTTCCAAAACCTGATGGTTCTGAGCTGGGCTCATGACGGGACAATGCTCTACCCAGGCTGTTCTGTACGCTGCCCCACCATCGGGCAACATGATCCAGTGGGTTTGTCTGTGGCAAGCAGGAACAATATTTAGAGACGTTGGCAGGCTCGGAATCACAGAAGAGGCCTTTGGAACACGGAGCTACACCCTTCCGAATAACTACTGTCCTTTCCAGAGAGTTCTTGGCTTGCTCTTGGGCCTCCATGGAGACTGAATGACCTTAAGCTACCAAGTTACTATGCAGCCCAAGGCTGTCCCGTCATGAGCTGTGACCTGGCGCAGAGGGGTAAGAGTCCTGGTTGGGAAGGGTGGCAAACAAGCATGGTGGCTGGAGCAGCAAGCTGAGAGAGAGCTCCCACCTGGAACCATAGCCAGAAGAGGGAAGCCTGGGAATCGCGTGTGACTTTTGAAGCCTGAAATCCTGCTCTCCAGGGCATATTTCTTCCAGCAAGGCCATGTGCTTTAAAGCTACCCAAACAGGGTCACCAGCTGGGGACCAAGTATTCAAATGCAGGGTCCTCATTTGGAGGGCCACAGGAATATATCACAGGAACTCAGCTGGTTATGGCAAAGCCACTACCTGGAGGGATCAAGGATTTCCTCCAGAGGGAAGCCAAATTCCAAGGAGCTTTTGGTGTTGCTTGGCTTGTTATGTATCAGCTGTCTTCTGTTACGAAAATCATGTGTGCCTTCATAGTTTTCCCAATTGACTTTTCCCTAAGAAGGGCTAACAGTGTGGACTGATCACTCTCAGGACATACACATTTCAGGACTTTGGAGAACAGCCTCAGGAAAGGCTTTCTCTGGAATCAGATATCTCCCTTGGCCACTTTGAAGGACTAACAGTGATAACAGCCCACTTGCAAGTCTCCTGATTTAAGGTAAATCTCACAAGGAGATACCGCCTAGGTCAGGTGGATGTTAAGTAATAGCTTTACGCAGTTTAGCTCGGACCCTCCCTTCTTACCTTCCTCCTTTCCCAAACCTTACCTCTTGTTCCAGATCTCCCCTTAACTATTGCCAGAGGTGCTGGGCAGTGGTGGCACACGCCTTTATTCCCAGCGCTCAGGAGGCAGAGGCAGGCAGATCTCTGTGAGTTGGAGACCAGCCTGGGCTACAGAGTGAGTCCCAGGAAAGGCCAAAGCTACACAGAGAAACCCTGTCTTAAAATAACAACAAAAGAAAACTATCACCAGAGGCATCTAGCTGTACACTAGGGACTGAACACACCTCCCCTCCACCCTGCAGGTAAATGGCAGATAGCTTGGACAGATAGGAGCCACAAAAAAAGAAAAGAAAAAAAAAAAGGCGGTTTTATTTTCTTTCATTGACCTAGCAACTTATAGATTCTTAACATTTTCTACTAATCACGTTTAAGACTATAGTTGAGCACATAAGATCCCTCTTCTTAGATATTACCCGAATTTAGCCTTAATTCATTTCCCCATTGGTCACTTCCCTTTGGGGTTGCAAATAATAATTAACGGTTATTGCCTCTCTGTGTGATTCTTATCACACACACACACACACACATACACACACACCCCAGTTTACCCTGGAAGCCTAGTTTTACACTGCCAAGGGATTACTTGGTATAAGTACTTGGTATAAGGGGTTACTGCTTGTAAGTGTATATATACCAGGACTTCCAGGGCTTGAGGCACGGAGAAGAGAAAAGAGAATGGAAGAACTAGATGGGTAAGAACTTGAGAGGAACAAACCGAGATGGGGAAGAACTAGACTTAATGGCTAGAAGAGAGTACTAGAGGAACAAGATGGAAGATGAGGAAGAGCCAGATGAGGAAGTACTAGCTGGGTAAGAACAAGCTGAAAAGGACCTAGATGAGGAGAATTAAGATGAGAGAATTAAGATAGAACTTAGAGGGAGCAATAGATAAATATAGAGAGAAATCAGGCAAGAAAGGAGCTAGACACGAGAACAGACCTGAAGCTGTGTATAAAGGATATTATGCCAGAGGAATTAAAGCAAGTGGACTATAGAGCTCAGTGTGCGGAGATTCTATTTCCCGAAAATAGTTCTCGCCGTTAGTAGTTCTCTCTCCTGAGCCCCTGGGATGTATAATGTTAAGGCTGGTCCTGCTAATATTATGCAAGACCCCAGGCCTTCAGGTTTGATCAGGACTTAACACACAAGTACCCTCCATACAAGTTCTTGGAACTTTTGGGACTATAACCTCAGCTTCTGTGGGCCTCCAGTTTGTGGACAGGGGCGTATCACAGGGCTTCTCAGTTCTTGTGAGCACGTGAGCCAGTCCTTCGTAAATCTGCGTCTATACCATTCATAACATATGTAATATTCTATTTCTTCAGTACAAGTTTTTTCAATAGCTTGCCTTCCTTTCCCCTGTATCCCTTAAATTCTAGTCTACATGGACTGGAGTCTGTTTTATTTTGGCCTTTGTCTTGGGTTGGTTTTCAAATCCCCTGGTGATGCCTAGTTGACCGTGTTAGAGATTAAGTAGGGCACCTGAAACTATACGGAACTCCATGTGCTTGGAGGAAATTGATTAGCAGAGAGGCTTTACTTTGGGGAAATAAGAAGCCAACTGATGTGTCGGGTATTGGGGTGTGTTTCCCAGCACCCAGAATGCAGGATTCCTTTCTTTGGGGTTCTTTCTTTGAGACCTTTAACCCTTTTCCTGAGGAGCTGATGCCTAGTTATCAAGGCTTCTTGTTGAGAGGGATGCTAATCCTGGAAACAGATTTTCATAATTTCCCCTCTTCACTGGTCCCGAGTCCCACTTCAGACCCACAGTTGTCTCCCAGACATCTTCCTTGGCTAGTTCCCTCTGGTTCTCTCTCTCCCCCTCCTTCTGTATCTCTTTCTCCTTCTTTCGTTCTCCCCCTCCCTCCCTTTCTTCCTCTCCCTCCTTCTCTAAGTGTCTGTGTAATAATGGCATAATTATAAGCACATACAGATACTGTATAATCTCTGATCCCGTGCCTGAGCTCTTACTGAGAAGGTAAGATGGTCAGAGGCTTGTTAGCATCAGCAACAAGATGCTAAAAGCTTATGACAAATTATGACATTAACACATTTTTTATTTCCCTTTCATGTGGTGGTGCAGGCAAGCACTGAACTGCACCATTAGCCCCTTCTAAGATGACAAACGTTCTCAAGGTTGGACCTTGACGTCCTGACCCATCTTCCCTGAGGAGAATTTTCAACGCGAAATTTGTTTGGGATTCGAACCGTGTGTCTACACACTGAAAGGTAGTGCTGTTACCACGAATTTACTCACTAAGAAATGCCCACAGTTGTTGTCTTGGAATACCACACTTGTGTTAGTTTTAAAAAGTGCTCCTTGCAAAGCTGCTTCTCTTGTCACAGCAGTAGACTTCCGGTAGTGAATTGAGTGGTCTAGGGTTTGATAAAACCGTGCCCACTTTATGATCCGAACCTGAAATTGAAAACAAATTAGTGATTTGTTTTGTGGACTACTTACTCTGAAAATTTAACACACTGCCTTTTTTTTTTCTTTTAGCAACTGTATACAATAAAAAAGTAATTTAAGACATTTAAAGAGTCATAATGGAAAAATGGGTGCCAGGGAGATGGTCAGTGGGGAAGGCACTTATGGCCAAGTCTGACAAATGGGGTTCAATCCTCTGCCTCCAGATAGTGGGAGGAGAGGACCCGACTGACTCCCACC